GTACAAATGTTGATGGCTTTATTTTCTTAGGCAAAGTGCTAATATTTGATAATATCCCATCTTGCCTTTCAGCATAGCAGTAGATTTTTACTGAGAAGAAAAGTAAAATTTTGAATAAGTGGGCTTTGATAGACCTGCACGACTCTCAGTTTTTAACAATCCCACCCTCTTTGTTTTGCAGACATATAACCCTTAGTGCTGTTAAAAAGCAGGCTGTGCACTTTCAGAGAGGCAAGCTTATAGTGATTTGCTTTTTTAGGTCTACTACTCTTGTCTCTGGAAGTTGCATTATGTTTAAGTAAGCTCATTAAGCAGGGATCTGAAGGTAAACATCAAAGATGTGCTGAATCAGTTGTGACAATTTCATGTACCGTATTCCATAATAATGTTCTTTCAGAGAGCACGTAACATTAACTAGCTTAGGTGGTTAGTTTCATTATTTGATAGCAGAAAACAAGACTTTGGGGAGCTTATGTGATTTTTCTCACTATCAGTAACTTGATAAAAAGTGAACCCTATTCCTAACCAGGACTGTGGATCTTCAAGTGAAGTTTTATAGTCCAAGGAGCAAAGCGTGCTCCCCATATTTCCTTCTGGGGGCCATAATTGTGAAAGTGTTACTTTTGATTTACCAGCAGATATTTATATACATTTACTTATCACAAGATGTTCTGAGTCTTTCATGTGGAGCTCAAAGCCTTAAAACATAAAAACCAAACCAAAACAATCCTGTTATGAAGGCAAGTGTCTCTATCTCTCTCTTTTTCTTTTAGAAAAATACTTCATAATAAAAACACAAAAGTATGTGAATGGTAATTGAAAAAGCATTGCTTCCCTTTAGAAAACCACCAAGATTTGCATAAACCACTTGGCTGTCTGATAAGTGATTATCTGCTCTGTCAGTCCTTGGGGACTTTTAATATTAGGTTTGTATTTTTATGGAAAAGGCAAGTTCTAAACTTGAAGATGGGTATTGTTAAACTCGCCAAGTAATGATAATGTTGAATAATGATATTATTCAATTATTGTGTAACTGGATGTTCCAAAAGTCCTTTAAAAAGTCAATAATGTTGGGTGCGGTGGCTCTCACCTTTAATCCCAGCACTTTGGGAGGCAGAGGTGGGTGGATCACCTAAGATCAGGAGTTTAAGACTAGCCTGCCCAACATGATGAAACCCCATTTCTACTAAAAATACAAAAAATTAGCTGGGTGTGGTGGTGGGCACCTGTAATCTCAGCTACTTGGGAGACTGAGGCAGGAGAATCGCTTGAACCCAGGAGGTGGAAGTTGCAGTGAGCCGAGATTGTGCCACTGCATTCCAGCCTGGACAACAAGAGTGAAGCTCCATCTCCAAAAAAAAGTCAATGAAAACATGTCATCTTTTTTGTGATAACCACACAAATAAAATTAAAGGCCTACAAAGATTTTGAATTTGTGCTGGCACAATCTGTTGATTGTTTGCTTTTAGTACTACTGAGATGTATTGGATAATACTCAAAATATGCCAATTTGAGAACTGGAAAAGAAGTTTAAAAGAATTTCTATTAACACTCTTAAAGCATTATGAGAAGACGTTTACAGGAATGGAAACCACAACCTGGCTGCATCTATTTGGTATTTGTTTGCTGAAGTAACTTATCAAAGATGATTTTAAAGAAGAGATTGATAAAATAAACTGTTGGAATTTTTCTGGGCTCCAATTCTGGAAAAGCAGATTGACATTGAAATTCTTGTAATTAAGTATACATCCTACTGTAGTGAAATAATAGCCACCTTTGAGTTTACTTATCATTATTTACTGTTTAGCTACACACACACAGTTTATTCAGCTTTGCATTGCTAAACTCTGGTGGTGTTACAGGTAAATGTGCATAAGCCATAACCGATGCTTTTTCATATATCTAAGTTTTTCCGACACAAATAGCTTGAAACAATTTCCTTTGTTTTAAGTTGGTACCCACTTTTAATTTTCACTCAGTCCTCTACCACTCCATGCTTTACCTGGGGTTGTAATACATGAGGAATTATCTTGATTTATGTTTAGGTAACATCACTGCCTTCAAAGTTGAGTGGGCACAGTTATAACAGGTCTTTGTGTAGGCAGAGGACAGAATACTAAGACTGATCCATCATCATCATCATCATCATCATCATGGCTGACATTTTTTGAGATGCTATGCATACTCACTTCATTTTCATAGTAATCTTGTGAGGCATGTGTAGCTTCACATTATTTAAACCCTTGGTGTCAGATGTGCTTCAGAATTCAGAACTTCTTGGAGTTTGGAAAAGTAATCAGTGCATGTGCCATATATTATACAAAAGCTCTAGGCTCATTCTGGGAAAGCACCTTATATGCAAGCACATTAGTATTTCTGCAGGGAAATATATGAATAGTAACGCTGAGTAGAATAAAAGCCATAGGCACTCTCACGTTAATTCAATCAAGTCTTGCCTGCAAATGCATTTGGGCGTTATCTTATGAAAAATTTTTTTTTTTTTCCTGAGCTTTTTGGTATTTCGGAATTGAGGTTAAGGAAATACAGGCCTGGATAGTTATAATCCCTTTTTATAGATATGGGGAACCAGAGACCCAGAGAGGTCAAGTAACTTGCCCAGTGCCACACAGTGAGTGGCAGAGCTGGGCTGTGACTGTGCAGCTGTTTGAAATAATAGTCTAGATCTGCATATAGTAAAGTGGTGTTATGTCCATGGTAACTTACTAAATTAAAGCTGTAAAGAATAACATATAATATGTTCCCATTTTTAGAAAAAAAAATCTATCATTCTCTATAAACATTATAGGGAAAGATTTAAAAGTACAGTCATTAGACTCTTGACAGCATTTACCTCTTTTGGTTGGGAATAGGCAGAATCAGGAGATACTTAAAGGTTTTTATAATTTTGTGTCTTATACATGGTATATTTTATATATATATGTAAAATTTTATTTTATTTTTTTTGAGATGGAGTCTTGCACAGTCCCCTGGGCTAGAGTGCAATGGCATGATCCTGGCTCATTACAACTTCAGTCTCCTGGGTTCACGTGATTCTCCTGCCACAGCCTCCAGAGTAGCTGGGATTACAGGTGCACGACCCCACACCCAGCTAATTTTCTGTATTTTTAGTAGAGATGGGGTTTTACTATGTTGGCCAGACTGGTCTCAAACTCCTCCTGACCTCGTGATCCGCCTGCTTTGGCCTCCCAAAGTACTGGGATTACAGGTGTGAGCCACCACGCCTGGCCACTATTTGCATTTTTAAAATGATAAATGTATAAAGGAAAAGTGGGAGAAAAAGCAAACAGATGTTTACTCTTGTTTCAGATAGAAAGAAGGAAGCTTAGTGCTCTTCTTTCCTTATAGTATTGGAGAAACCCCTACTTTTTATGGTACCCCATGTATTATACTGACTACTTAGGTGGTAATTACATGTCTGCTTTCTGTAGATAATCAATTTTTTCAAAGCTATGTAAGAAGAATATTTCATACAGAATGAATGGAGTTTAACAAGGTGAAGTATCATAAGTGAAAATGAAGTCCAAACTGTGCTTGGATTGAGGCATTGTGTCTTAGCTGACAGGTGTTCAGTTAGCACTATGCTAAATGAATGACAATGTGGAATGGCCACTTCCAATGTGAATGTGATCTCCAGCTATATAGCAAGAGTGCAATATTGAGAATGTGAGTTAGTCTACAGTCTTGTCGTCAGTTGTGGTTGGCATATATAAAGGGATGCAGGCAATGTGAAGTCTTTTCCTGATAGATTAATCAGGAGGATTTAAGGACTTGAAACCATGTCATATAAGGCACAGGTGAAATAATTGGGCAAGTACAGTTTAGTGGTTTGCCAGCTTTTGCAGTACTCGACTGTTGTACTTGCTCAGATGAGTAATGTTAGCTCAATATTGATTGACTGCCAGCTCTGTGCCACATCCTGAGCTATCAAGTATTTGGGATACAAAGATGAAGAGATGTGGACTCTGCCTTTCATGTCTCTGAGTATAATGGACAACACAGAAATGTACACAACTATTTCCAATACAGCATGATAAATTTAACAGTAGACCTTAGTACAGAAGCAGCACAGATATATTAAGATTAATTCCTCCTGTCGTAGTAGATGGGAGGCTAAAGTCTTCAGAGAGAAATGGAATTCTGAGCTGGGTTTTGAAAAATAAAACTGTTTCAGTGAATGAAATGAGAAGATTGACAAAGGACAGTAAAATCTTGTTCAAATATTTGAAAAGATTTCATGAACAAGAAAGACTGAAATTTTTCAGTACAACCTCAGGGCCTCAGAAACCAGTTGGGGTAGGGTACAGAAAGACAGATTTGGCTTAATTTTAAAAGTTTTTAATAGAGCTGTCCAAAGGCTTTTTTGGAGTGTTCAGAGTTACCAGTCCCTGGATGTGTTGAAGCACGGCAAGTCAACTGTTTACCAGTGACAGTAGGGAAACGGGAGGTCACCTGATGAATAGAGAGACAGATAGTGAAGTGTTTAAAAGCGTGGTTTCTAGGATCAGACTACTTGAACTGGCACTTCTATGTACTGGCTCTGTGACCTTATCTAGAATTGTTATGATAATTAACAAAAAAATCATTCAGAGCAGCACCTGACACACAGTGACTGCTAAATAAGTCACTAATAAGTATTAGCTATTGTCATTAGATGGGCAGTTAGTTGAGTACTCTTTAAAGTTCCTCCTACCTCGAAAGACGTTGAATTTCTAATTATGTAATTAGGTGACAATATTCTTATGAATTAAGAAGATAGTAATGAGAAGACTGAAGCAAAAAATAAAATTGTGATAGTTAACAATTTAGCAACAAAGATATGAATAAAACTCTCGTCTCTTGAACTATATAGATCATTGGTCTAGTGACTACCTTGATCTTCCTTTTGGAGCCTTGGGATTTTTCAACCTACCCATTCAGGGTATTTTCAGAGGGGCCGGTACTGCCTGATTCTGTCTAGCTTGTATTTTTCTGTCTTGTAGATACTGTGGCCTCCTGAATAGGAATGTCAGGATTGGAAATAATGGATGAAGATCAATTAATCAAAGAAGTCTCGGATACATTCCTTAATTGTCATGAGCAAACATATGATGAAGAATTTCTGGACACTTTTACTAATCTTTCACAAGGTAAAATGGAGAAATAAACTTTCTGCAGCAATAAATAATTTTATCATAAGTTTATGTTTCTATTGCCTATTGAGAAAGACTATTTAGTGAGCATTCATTCCATTCCTGTGATCAGGAAATTATTACTAGGGCATTTGTGACTGATGCCCTAATGTTACTGATGAGCGTTGTGTGATGGTATCAGAGCCACAGATCTTATAACTAAAAATGACTTGAGAAATCTTTTAGTATTATCCTTTTGTTTTTTAAGAAATCCAGATGCAAAGAGTGGAGGTTGTTAAAAGCCTATTTTAAAAAAGTTTGAAGAGAAATAGCATAGAATAGATTATGGAATTACACTGCACACTTCTGGATCCTGGGATTACCGCTTACTGGCCATGTGACCGTGGGAGGGGCAGTTTTTGAATAAAAGGGGAATAATAATAGTACTCCTCTCAAAGGTTGAGAAAGGTTAATTGAGATAATCCATGTGAAACTCCTGGTGTAGTGACTAAAACATGATAATTACTTACTGAATGTTAGGTATTGGTATTACTGTTGTGATGCTGCTGCTGCTGCTGCTGTTGTGGTTTCTCTAGAATGGAAACAACCCTTTAGACTGAATGTGATAAGGCCAAACCCATGTTGTGTTTTTCATTAGTTTCAAATTTCATTTGTTTCCCTCATTCAGTGATAGTGTTTATTAACTGAGCCAACATTTGACAGTTGGGTAATTTTACATGAAAACTGATTTGTGTTTTTGGGGGGGGATCCAGTGAGAAGATCTGTTTCTTCTCGTGCCAATATCAGCTAGAGCTCAGGAGCCCTTGCCCCATGTGCTGTTAGTTTGTCATGCTCTCTGGCACTCACACAATCTAAAAATGTCTGCTTACATTGTCTGCTTCATTCATTTCAGTGGCCCCCTAGGCATCTGTGTTGTTATCTTCCTTCTAGGTTCTGCTTCAGATTGCCATCGGCTTGCTCTCAACCTTGATCCTTTCTGGGTCATTGATCCACATTTTTGAGATTACTGGTTCTCTACCTAGCTACACATTAGACTCACCTGACTTGCTTTTAGAACATATTGACATCAGAGCCCACTCTAAAGCTCAGCTAGGATCAAGGAATTCGTATTTTATAAAACCTCCTCTGGTGCTTCTAATGTGTACCCAAGGGTGAGAACAGGGAGTGTCATAATCTCTGAGGTCATGACATTCTTAAAATACCTGACTTCATGATTTGTGTAATGATTCATGTGTCCTAAAGAAATGTAAAGGAAGGGTAGTAATTATAATGAAGAAAAGAAAAAGCGATTCTTACCTCGCTGGGTGCGGTGGCTCACACCTGTAATCCCAGCACTTTGGGAGATTGAGGCAGGTGGATCACCTGAGGTTGGGAGTTCGAGACCAGTCTGACCAAGACAGAGAAACCTCGTCTCTACTAAAAGTACAAAATAAGCCTGGTGTGGTGGTGCGTGCCTGTAATCCCAGCTACTGGAGAGGCTGAGGTAGGAGAACTACTTGAACCCAGGAGGGGGAGGTTGTGGTCAGCCAAGATCATGCCATTGAACTGCAGCCTGGGCAACAAAAGTGAAACTCCATCTCAAAAAAAAAAAAAAAGAAAAAGTGATTCTTATCTGTTTCTTTTATCAGGTGAGATAGAATATATCTGTTTTGTTTACACTTAAAAAACATAGATGTGGTGGTTTTTGTTTACACTTAATGGAAATGAAAAATTTAGGAACTGGTTATTAACTTTGGGGCTTCCTGTGAATGATTTGTTTTGACATGATATGTAGATCAAATCAATATTGAGAATGACCAAATTATTTTTTAGTCTATGAGCCTGGGTTTAGGAAGATACTTGCTTTGTTTGAGACTAATGATTTAGTTTGTGTTTTCTGGACCCAAACATAGCAGTATGAATGGCTGTGGTGGGGTGGTGGGAATAGGGGTAAGATTGGCAGAATTAATGAATTTTGGTATGCTAATGACATTTTGATAATTCACATTATTTTGGAAATTATTTGCAAGGCTGACTTTATTTTTGTATCCTATAAAAATAAAAACTTCTTGCAAGGACTTTGATATATTTAGGGGGCTATAATACATCTACTTTTGTGAAAAGGGGTCTTATTCTGCATTTAGATTCCAGTATGATCATTGCATGCTGAGAAAGAAACTGTTGCAGATGTGATAACTTCATTTTGGGTTCAGTTTTGGACCCCAAATTGAGCTGAAGTAAATGATGATCCAAGTTACGTAAACTGCATCTTCTAAGCACACTATTTTTTTTTTTTCCTTTCAAAATATCCCTAGGCTCTAGTGCACATTATAAACTAATGACCTGAAAAAATTCCTCTTAAAGCACAAACAGTTGTGAGTGTAAAAATGTGTCTTAAATCAGTAAGTGTCCTCTTTTTCCCTTGAAACATGTAAATACCTTCTGAGAAACCAGGACTTAGGAATGGGCTTAAGAGTTGAGTGATAGCCAGCAGAATTGATCAAGGTAAATGTGGTCAGTTCTGTTTAAGAAAGACATTAAAGCTATATTTCCAAAATTGCTGTTTCCTCTGCTCCTTTCCAGGCCATTCATTAGTCTCACTGTGTTTAGTTGTTTTATTGATATACACTGAGCCTTTTCTCTGTTAAAGTGGTTATCGCCATGCATACTTATGCACATTTCTTTAAAAGTTTGGTTTCTCAAGTCCATTACCATTTCCACTGATTGACTGATCTATTTATTTTTATAATAGTTATACACCAGAATGCTTATGGGATTCATTTTCTTTTCAAGAATGTTAAAACGGTCAGTAATCCCATTAAAAATATTTCCCTGGAAAAAATTAAATTATAGCCTTGTTGAAAGAAATTCTCATTACTGCCTCAGACTCTTGGAAAACAGTTGGAGACTTAATATTATAGCATAATTCTCACTACAGTACATTTATGTTGATCATGTTTTGTAGTTTTTTTCTTTTTTAAAGCAAGTAGGTTTTTATACTGTGGTACATGTTTGATGGTAAAGACAATGTTCTATCAAAATGTTTAAAGAGACATATTAATTATTAGTTTTAAACAGCCAATTATAAGTGAATTCTCAGTAGTATATTCAGTTCAGGAGGCTAAATCGAATTGTAAGATATGTATTCGGAAATAAGCATGCAGTTTTTTTTTTAATAATTGGTGAAGACATCGTTATATTATTGACATGGTGGATAAGGATAAGCAGCTAAGTTTTAATCTTTTGTATCTCAGCCTCTCTGTGAATGTAACCAATTTATAGGACTTTCTAGAATATCTGTTTAAAAGAAAAAAAGTCTTCTTTCTCCTTGCCTGTCATATTACTATCATTTTTTCTAGGTTATAAAAACATTGATATGAATACTTATATTTGATTTTTTATTAATTAATTCACTCATTCATTAATTCTGTGAGTGTCTTGTTATGGTTCAGATACCATTTTAGGTACTGAAGATGAAAAAGCAAATAAAATATAGTGTATGTTCTCAAACAGTCATAATTCATTGGTAGAGATAAATAAGCAAGCAGGAAATTAGACTAATGCATAAGTACCACAGTGGAGACTGAGAGCTTATAGGAGGGCCACCCAGCCTGTGGTTGGAGGAAGGGCAATAAAGTCTAGTCATCAGAGAGGCTGCTTGAGATGAGTCTGGGATAACTACTGAACCCAAACTTCCTTGGGCCTCAAGACATTAAGTAGAACTAGGAAAGTTTGACAGAAAAGAGCTGAAATTGAAAGATGTTAAAATGCCTCCGTTGGTGATGGTTCTTTGGGTCACGGTTGCATTGATTTTAGTACTGATATATCTTTACCTCCTTTAAACAATAAATCTTCAAGATGAATATGTAGTCTTGCTTTAGTAAGGTTTAGAGTTACTTCTAAACTGCTGAAAGAAAAAGACAATTTCTTTTAATTTCCTTGCACGCCAGGATTACCACATGATCCAATTTGGGAAGCATTTGCTTCCACCTTTTAGAGTGCTAATTACTGCTCATGTTGCTGTCACACAGAAATTGTATAATTAAGAAGTCAATGACTTAGGAATTGACATGAAATCTTTTCTACTTCATTTTATTACATATGGTAAATGTCGGGGATTACAATAGTTATTTCCAAATCTCTCTTTCTCTCTCTCTCCCTCTTGCATGCCTAGGATCCAGCTTTCCTAGTGATTCTAGAGTTTTTATATTGCCATGTAATAACAGCTTTTATTCACTGCTATATTTATCTACTTTAACCTGTTTTCTTCTGTGTGGATCAAAGATTTTATTTCAGGTTTTGATGTGTAATTTTGTTCATAGTTTTCTTTATGCTATTTTCATTTCACTTGCAATACTTTGTGCTTTTAGCATTTTATTGTTCTTTTAACATATCTTTGAAGAAAATTCCTGTCAACTCAACCTCACTTTTTCTCTTCATACTTGTTAATATTTGAATTGATTTTCCTATTAGGTAGAACATTGTGTGTCTGAATTTTCAGGACAAATGGCTATGCCTGTAGCTTTATAAATTGGTGGAGGGCTGACCTTTGATAGTTCCAAACTCTTGGAGTTTCAAAACCGTTGAATAGGTTTCATTTTTCTCAAATTTTAATAATATTGTATAACTATAGAGAAATTAATCTGTATTTACTTTATTCAAATTGAGTTATTTAAAGAGTGATGCCAGTGCTTTTCCAGCATTACAAATTTCATGAATGGTGTACTAGCCATATGATTTGTGATTCTATAGGCCTGTACTGTCCAACATAGTAGCTACTAGCAACATGCAACTATTAGTACTGGAAACGTGGCTAGCACCTCAGGAACTGAGTTTTAAATTTTAATTACCTTAAATTAATTTAAATTCATATATAAATAAATCATATTCAGTTCATTTATTAGAAAATTTTAAAAGGTGTTTGGGACAACTTGGGAAGGTGAATCCATTGTTTAAAATGTAAATTTTATGAAATCTAAGTACAGATACAGTATTTCTTTTTTTTTGTTTTTTTTTTT